GTGAAAAGGTGCTAGGCTTTCGTCCGTTATATGACGGAAATTAACAGAGCGGCAGGGCAAAAACGGGTCACGAGATTGAATGGTCCCAAACTTGACGTTTTGCTGATTATGGTATGTTTGCGGCTAAACGTAAAATTAGAGAAACCATAAAAATAAACCGAACAGGAAATACCTTGAATGTACGGAATACCGGCAAGAAGATAAATAAAAACTATTTGTGCTTAATTAATAGACTGAAGGATAGAGGGAATTGAGCCGCCTGCAAAAAGGAAGCGACGCAACTAGTCGTTTCTTGTTTTGGTTCTAATGATAGTCGATTCTCTGTACTTTTAGCTCACACTTCATGGAAGAGGTAAGATTGACACCCAAATTTTTAGTTAGATATATGGATGACTACTTTGCCATATGGCAGAATGGCAGGAATAGTTTAGATAATTTTTGGTTTTTAATTAACCAAATTGACTTCAATATTAAGTTGACAATAGAGATAGAGGTCGACAATACTTTTCCCTTTTTAGATGTATTAGTGAACAGAGCAGGCGAGAAGTTAAGCAGGGATGCCTATAGAAAGCCAACACATGCTGGCTTTATACTTAACTTCTTCTCCAATCATAGTTACAAAACAAAGGTTGGAGTTTTAAAATCTATGTTTATTCGTAGCATAAGACTAGCAGATATAGACCATTGTGACAATGAATTGAATCGGCTTAAAATAATATTTCTTGAAAATAACTATCCCATATGCTTGATTGAAAATAACATTAGATTAATAAAGAATAGCTTTTTGATTGGTAAATATGTAAGGAGAGATAAGGAGTCCTTAAATAACCGAATCACTTTATATTTCATCAAGATGCAGAGTATATATATCACTTCTTAGGGATTTGCTGATGAGTTTTCTTGACTCGTTAGCTTGATTTTTATTGTGACGATACCTTGCTCTGATGATGTTTGTCATAAGACGGACGAAAGCTTAGCACCTTTTCAACAGAATCGAAGAAGATTACCTCGAAAACCGCGTCAGCATGAAACTTCCAGTAAAGCCAATCGACAGCTGGTCAAAAGGAATCCGCCATCGTCTTCTGGTGGAACCGACCGAATCTCTGACCCAACACTTTCACTAGAAATGGAAGTAAACTTAACAAGTAGGATTTAAGCCTAACCCCTTTCTTAATTTAGTATTTTTGAGCTTTTCTGGCTAACGAAGTCTATCATATGACAGACGACAACTTAACATGAATTCATCGGGGTCGAAGCATGCTCACATTATTTTGCACAATCTAGCAGCAACAAATCAAAGATTATGCTCATTCACTGTCCTGTGAAGTCAATTTACGAACCCATTCAAGTTGCCTTTTCAAACGAAATAAAGGATATACTAACATTAATAGATTCTAGAATAAAAAACCAATCATTGAATATGGATAAACTATGGCGGTAAGAAGTTTCCATTTGGGATTTACCAACAAACTCACCTAGCTCTAGCAGAATCGAGCACAATCAACTGCCCACTGTCACTACTCTCTGGAGAGGCCATCCCAGGACGAGGCCGAATCTTGATGGCGCCGGAACGCTTGCTTTCAGGTTGTTGGCGTTGCGGCCCTTCAGCCCGGCGGTGACGACGCTTATCTAAATTGACTTGTTCCCTCCTTTTGGATGCAATCGGCTCTGATTCAGATCGATCCCGAGTAGTTTGCTGACCAACTTGAGAGCGAACTGAAGCAACAGCACGACCAGGCCGCTGAGAAGAAGAGGATAGAGAAGAGGAAGACGAACGAGATGATCGACGACCATGGCGACGTTTTGGTCGGCGTCGGTTCACACTGTCCGCTCGACTTGAAGGCACAGGAGAACGACGTCGTCTAATGGTGTCATCACTGGGTTGACGTCGGCCACTACCTCTGGGAGGCTTTCGATCACGATCACGCTCTCGGTTCCGAGTTCTGTCTTGATCTCGATTCCTATCGAATTCAGCATGCCGATCTCGATCTCGACCACGATCTCGATCTAAGTCATGAGTCCGCTCTGGTTTGCGACAATAGCGACCTGTGCGATTTCGTGAATCGCGGTCATTGCCTCCCAATGCTGTATTATCACCGGCTGCCTTTTGGCAGGGCTTCCTAGAGGCTGCTCGTCGAGAACGACTGCGTTGACGACCGCGTTGACCAGAGGAAGCACGTCTTGATGTCGGCTTGACGCGTTGGCCACGTTGGACTCGGGAAACTTGTTGAGATGAAGGCTCCTTTTTATTGTCTGCGATTCTCGTATTTTGGCGCCCAGCTCGTTTCGCTGGATTGATGGACGCAGTAGATTTGCATCCTGATCGCCCACATTCATTTGGGCGCCTGCAAGGACCCACTTGTGCCATTGATTCAAAGTCGGCGTGCTCGTCATCTGCCTCAGCCTCAGGGAGTAAACACTCTTGAGACGAAGTAAGAGGGCGTTTGCGGAGCTGGCGGCGTTTTTGTGGCCGAGCATTTCGCCCACTCAGCTCTCCATGTTGTGGCTGATCACTTGACCCAGACGGCTTAGCTGAAGAGCGTCGTGTTTTGATGGAACCCATATTAAATGCATCTTCATGCGTGCCTGAGGAAGCAACGACGCCAGAGGAAGCAGCTTGTTGCTCGGCCTCTTCTTGCTGTTTCAGTGCTAGGGGTTTTCGCGGTTCCGTCAGATGGCTACGGCCTGACTCACCCGTAGCACGCAATCGAGGCTTTCTTCGAGGCGAACCAGGAGCATTTTGTCGGGGAGCTCGGCGGCGACGATGGGATGAAATAGAAGAGGTTGTAGAGGAAAGGGAGGAGGAACAAGAATAAGTGAGACTTGAAGATGAGGCGCGGCGATGGTATCGTTTCCTGGCTAGCTGACGCCGACGACGCCGAATTGCTCTCAAGGGAGAAGAGCTAGAAGAAGAGGCAGCCGAAGAAGTCATTTGCCTGCCAGTGTAGGAAGAGGAATGTGAACTCTTAGGACCGATTCGTATAGAGTCGGCAGAGCGGGAAGAAGAACATGATACGAAAGAAGCATTGGATACGGAAACACCACGCCGGCGCAAACTACGATTGCCTAAGAAACGTTGGCGACGAGAATAAGAGGCAGAAGTATGTGGACTACGAGCTGGAGAAGATGAAGATTTGTTTTTATGTGGAGCCCTAGGCGAATAATATGAGGAAGTTGATGAGGATGAAGATGAAGACGAAGAACGGGAAACAGAAGTTTTAGAAGTATCTGAGGTCTCCGAAGGGGCAGGCCTGCGCATTGAATTTGGATTAGGGCGAGTTACATTTGTCGGGCCAGAAGCAGAAACAGGATTGGCATATGCAGCGGGTAGATAACGCTGTTTTCCCTCCTGTAAAAAAATACACCAAGAAAACAAAATAAAATAATTAATTCTAGTGGATATAAATCATAACCATCATCAATACAGAACTGATCTGGTTTAGCTAACGTATTTTGGAAGGTACAGTAAATTGGAAACCAACATTAACACATTGTTTTTTTGTTTCATAAGTAGGTTTTCGAGACTACCACTAGATCTGATATAAGAGCTGCATCCACCCTATTTCGTTTCAAGTTATAGTAGTCAAATTTTCCCACAATAATATAAGTAGACCTTGCGCTTCAAATGAATTTTACAGAATGTTGCTTCTAAAAATGTATTCTTCTTAAGGCCAAGGTGAATGGCAGCTTGGTCTCATTAGCACCTCTAGTGGGACTCGAACCCCAAAAGTTCTGCGAGTAACCTCGTCTACTCCATACTGTCGCGAGTGCACTCGGGTCATAGGACATAATTGAATTTCAACGAAGCTTAGGGCCTTCGCATATCACATTTCTGTGATGGGATCATCAACGAAGCAAAGTAATATTTGCTAATGTATTCGACTATATTATATATTTTCGTTTCAAAAATAGGTTTTCGATACTACTGGCAGATTTGACATAAGAGCTGTATTCATTCTATCTCGTTTAAGGTTATGAAGAAAACATTTTGTTAAATTAGTATAGGTGGCAAAGAATGGTTAATTATTGCATCAAACAGCCAAGTGGGATCAGGATGTCATTAAGGCATTAGGGCAGAATTTAGTTCATGAAAAGAATAAATGATAAAATCTACCTTCATTTCGGCTCGTGCGTCATTATTAATTCTCGAGCCAGAAACTTGGCCAACCCTGGGAGAAAGTGGCTTTTTTATATGCTGTCGTTTGAGCTCTTTAGTATAAGCAGCAGGATTCGAGGAAGCAACAGGAAAATCCGACGATCTTCGACGTTTCTGTACCGATGAAACAAGCGGCTTGCAGTGAGAACGTCTGTCTATACGTCTAAGTTCGACGCCTGATGGGCGAGTGTCACGTGCATGATTGTATCTATTTCTTGAGTCTTTGGGGAGACGACGGATCGCTGAATGGATTAAGGATGGAGGAGAGTGAGACGAAAAGGGTAGAACTTTTTTATATTTTTTGGCATGGCGTGAAAGAGAACGCCGACTCGCAGCTGAAGAAGATGAAGTTAAGCCCCGACGGCCTGCAGAGTTACAAACACGACGGCAATTATAATGATTTGGGTGAGGTGGAGATCTTTTTCTGGGATTCTTACGGGTATGGAGATGAGATGATGAAGAGGAGGCGGAGGAAGAAGAGGTGGATGAAAAAGAAGAAGAAGAAGAAGAAGAGGAAGAAGAAGAGGAAGAAGAAGAAGAAGAAGAGATAGACTTCATACGTCGAATATGTCGGCGACGGTCAATTGTGTTACCGCAATTAGGGTCACTAATGTCGCCATGCCCAGCTGGCTTTGCAGCAGATTTATCAAGTGAAGCTGCCTCCCCCGAGTTAAGCGATTCTGGAGGCGTAGAAGGGGTACGAGGGCCACGGAAACGAGGCTGTGTCTCGGTAGCAGTAGGGCGCTTGACATAATCAGTGGATGAACAAGTAGAAGAGGAGGCAGACGAAACAGAGTTTCGGCGATGATGTTGGTATTGACAAGTAGATGGTAGGTTGGTAGAAGTTGGCGAAGGTGTATGGTGAGCATCAGCCGCAGAAGCAACTGGAGACCCCGAGGCGAGAATTCCATCCTCGCTATTGCTACTGATTTCTTCATATGTGCCGGAATCAAGGAATCCGTTTCCCGGAAGACAAACGGACCATTTCGTGTTTGTTTCGTACTTGCGTGCATGATCCCGATCACGCTCGCATTTATCTCTTACATAGGGGCCTGTGGGACGCGAGCCATGAGAATTAGAGCCGAGAGTACGGCTAACCAACTGTTCCTTTCTTACAAGTCGTGTTGAACCAGTTGCAGCTTTTCGCATTGGTGAGCCATCCTTTTTGTGCCTAAGCGGATAAGAAAAGAAAGATAAGTTTGATGCTTCAAACCTTTGTTTCATTTGAAATATATTACAGCGATAGATTGATAGGTGAAGTGAGCCGAATACTGTAAAGCTCGAATAAAAAAGTGGGTCCATATTCAAGGAAATTCTAAAGCAATAATACTTCGGTCCCCAGTGTAAGAATTATCCCAGCTAATTTTTCTGATAAATGAATTATATAAATAGATGAAAAAAGCTGATTATTAAATAGTTTAAAATATTTTGGTGAATGTGAAAGCAGGTGAAGTGACCCTTGGTTTCGTCGCAGCCACCTATCTCGAAATGGACGTGATTTGTCCTATTTTCTCAACCTAATCGTGTTTGCAAGACTTTTAAAAAAGTGAACAGACCTAATCAATTTTTCTAGCATTAGTACGCTCACTGAACTGCTGATTTCATAAAGAGAGGATGATATACTAAAGGCGAATAGGATCAAAAGTCGACAGCACGACCG